ATTCCGGAAATTTCATGGAGTACTGCTTCAGGAATCATCGACCTGGGGAAAGGTGAGTAGTTGAGTATTAAAAAAACTAACTACTTTATAATGTTCGATAATGATAATGATATATTATAAAGTTCGAGTTTCGGTATGATGTGCGTCTGTACCATGCATCCAAAAAGAAAACTAGCAATTAGTTATTATCGACAAACTGTATTGATACAACATATTCGATAATGATATATTATAAAGGTCGAGTTTCGGTATGATGTGCGTCGTTGTCGTGCAACCTAAAAAGAAAACTAGCAATCAGCTATCGTCGATACACTATTTATACAACATACCTGTTTTACTTTTTAGGGTGTGGGTGTTAGTATAGGTATCTATTCACCAATACTCACACCTACACCCTTTTATTTTATTTTATCTTATTGCATTTGCTTTATTGTGTTATATGATTCTATTTTATTTTATCTGATTCTATTTTATTTTATTGTATTATATGACTCTATTTTATTTTATTCACTCGACTGTAGGAAGAGTAATATGAAATAAAATGCGTTTGTATGTATGTGGTTGTCAATGTTAAAAAATAACCAAGGTGAAATACACATAATACGTTATAAAACATGACCGAAACGTTTTTGAAGTCAGAGAATCCGAATCTGAGATCTATTTAGTCAGACAAATCAGGACGGGGGAAGGTGAGGGAAGATGTAAGTATGAACTAATAGAAATCAAGCTTAAGAAGAAAAGTCTTTCTATGGATACTTTGATGTTGCATTTCTTGTAAAGAAGTATGTAGCAAGCCGAAATCGTTTGTTTTCTCACTTATGTTAGTTTCCACACTGTACACTCTAAAAAAAAGGGTGTGGGTCTGAGCTAAAACAATAGATGTTCACATCTACATCCATTCACCAAGTTATAAAAGAAATTGTTGTTCTCGTGAAATAGACTTTTTAACCGAAAGAAAAAAGAAAACTGAAATTGCTTCATGCTTATTTTCAAATCTTCAATAATTGATATGTACATGTAATAATATACATGCGAGCAAAGACAGATACATACAATGACAATTTATTTCATATGATTCTCCTCAGTTGAAAAAACTATTTATAAAATCGAATTCTAATTTCCTACTGTCGACTAAATTTGTTTAAGTTTGATTAAACATACAATTTCATTGGTAATCGTCACTATTATTGAAGACCATCAAAATACGCATTCTATCTTAGTCAAATCTTAAATACAACTTGAAGTATTGCAAATATACTAAGCATAAAAATGTGACTAGATAACTGTTATAAGTTTTTTACATAATTACAATAATGGATAAAAAATAAGAAACATCATATTGCAATAAAACGAAAAAAAATGATTAGATTATAAAGTAAGCAGAGAACCTTATGACAAAAAGTTCTATAACAAAGCAACAAAAAGAAAAAATCAAAAAATATATAATAATCTCATTACTTTTGGCATGTATGGTTTGATTTTCTGGCTTAACAATAAGTTAGAAAAGAAAAACATTATAATCAATTTCATACTAACAAGTAACGCTCGTCTGCGGACTCGCTCAGCTCTTTCTCGTAGAAATTGTATTCTACAATACTAAACTTTCTGCTTATACAGTTTGGAAAAATTAACACCAGATTTGTGTTCTTCCATCCCGCTTATCCTTCGGTCACCCCTTATGAAATTTTTTTTTTTATAAAAATTGGTACTCTCCCTAAAAAAGTGATCCATAAAATTATTTTATAAAACTAACATCAGATTCGAAGTCTCCGCATCGAAATGTCCCAAAAATGTCTTTTCTAAAAAATCGATTCTCGAATTACCCTCTGGTAAAACTTTCTTGGAACTATCTTTAAGATTAATAATGTTAATTAATTATTAATTGATTTTTAAGTAAAATTAACCTCACATTCGAATTCCTGGCACTCGATTACCCTTCGGTCAAACTTTTTTCCAAAATTAATAATATTAACTATTAACTGATTGTTAACTAATTAATTTTAATAAATTAATCTCAGATTCAAGTTCCCCGCCCTCGATTACCCCCCGGTCAAAGTTTTCCGGAAGTATCTGAAAAATTAAATTTCAATGTTTTTTTGACCCTGCGGACATACAATCAAGCAAGCAAGCAAACAATTTATGATTACTGGACTCTTCTCTACGAGAAAGAGAATAATGAGCTAAAAGATAACGAATTTATTACTAGCAGAAGAAGTGTTTATTCCGTTATATGAATGATTAAACACAAGATATAAAATAAAACACATTTAAACAGAGAGATCTTTCTCTCTATCTATGGTAATGAAATACCTGACAGGTGGAAAAAATATATGAATGCTCAAGATGAACGATCTTTTTTTTTCTCTCACTTTACTTTTATGTGATAAATAATACGTGAGAAAAATTATATCTAAAAAAAGAGTTGATGGTGGAATTTAATTTTCCGTCAAAGTCATAAAAAGAAAAATACCTTCCTTTCTATTAAACTGAATTGAGGTATATAGCGATCTAAACGATAGAAATATACACAACTTCAGTATCTCTCGATAACAATATTGTTTTAATTTGACTATCTTTTTATAAAAACCAAATTTGTCAGAAAATCAAAGTCCAGACATGAATAAGTATGTCAATCGGTTCATCTGTGCATTTTTCTGAGATATGTATTAGCCCTCGGACCATTTCATGAAGAAAATTTTGGAGATGATTTGAAAGAGTAAAGTGCATTGTTCAAATATATATAGGAATCCTGTTTAAATGGTACACATAAACTAGACATATAATGAATAAACAGTGTTTGTATAAATGTTTTGAGTTATGCCATAAAGTTTCGACCAGTAGAGTGATTCAAAAAGAGCTTGATCGTTACGTTTGATATTCAGAGTTCTATAGATAATATCTTAAGGATGCGAGTGTGAGTTTTGATATGGTAGTACTATGATCAACTGACACTCACACCCTCAAACTTTCACAATTTAAAGGCATTGATGAAGAAAATTGAATATTACTTAAATATATTAATAATTGTCTTTTTTCTATGCTTCTTAGATTTAATATGGTTTATTAACAGAATGATAAGCATATATTCGAGATAGGTTCTTTTTATTATCGACAAAACAAGTGTGATGATCACAGCGTTGTAAAATTAAAGAGCGAAGGTATAGGCAAAAAAAAGATCGATATTCATATCATCTTTCGTATGAACCATCAACAAAAAGGTCATGTGAAGTGAACCAAAAATGCTGTGAGCCAAACAAGAGTCCATAATCCATGTTTTAGAGGAAACCAGGAAAAATAAAACTTATCCTGTTTTAGTTTTCTTTATAAATTTTAACAACTTTTAATTCCCTTTAGTCCTTTTAGTCTTTTTAGGCCCTTTAGTCCTTTTAATCCTTTTAGTCCTTTTAATCCTTTTAGTCTTTTTAGCTCCCTCTAGTCCTTTTAATTCTAAAGCGTGTTTGGTTTCCATCACATGACCCGTCAAAAACATGTTGTTTGAATACAATGGTGAAAAATGAAAAATTTTAATCTGTATACAAGAATATGATATGAATAACAAAAGTTAAAACTAAATATATATATATAAAAGGTGTATATATATATGATATTTACTTGATTTTATTTGAAAACAAGGTTGTTATTACAATGGTAATTTGGTTAAAGAGTTTTATAAGTCTTCTAATTGCTCTCAGTACCTTAATTGTTGCTGATGATCCATGTCGATTTGAACATTCAAAAGGTATCATTGATTTAACATCCTTAGGTAGAACTGATGGAAAACCTGCATATCCAGATCAAATACCACCAATAGGAAGCAATTATAGTATGTTGATGTTCTTGATATTCTGATAATTATTTTTAATTATTTGTGTTAATTAAATCCTCTATTTCTGGATAGGTTCGTGCTGTATTATTTATGAGAAGTGTGTGTTTTTTTGAGCATAAATCCTGTTTAACTAAACCTTTGATTCTTTTGAAACATTACAAGATTTCCGTGCAACAGAATGCTATATTCGCACGATTTAACAATAAAAGACATGATCAAACAAAAATACTGAATTCATTTTAATTCATTTATTATTCTATATTCTTTTAAATCATGACAAACTCTAGCAGCACTTCTTTGAATGGAACTGAAAATACTTTGGCAATAAACAACATTCCTGTTCCAGTTCGATTTTGGACATATCTTATATCCGATGCTTTATCCATTGCTTGTTCTCTATTCGTTCTATATTATCTTTTTTTTGATGGGGCACTACGTCGTGCACTAAACAATCATGTTATCATTGTCTCTCTTTTTATTGGTCTCATAAATGAAATCACCAGTGTACCATGGATTCTTTACCGTCAACGGTTTGGTGTTGCTTTGATACAGACACCTGATTTTTATCTTTCATCATATTTCTTCGACTACGCAACGTTTACTACTCAAATAATATTATTCGCTTGGGCTACTCTTGAAAGACATATACTCATATATCATGATCATTGGATATCTACGAAACAGAGACGCTTCTTCGTTCATTATCTACCAATAATTTCAATCTTGATCTATACTCTTGTCTATTATTCTGTAACCACCTTTGGTCCATTTTGTAAAAATTCATTTGTTTCCTTCTTAGCGGGAGGTTACATAATTCCGTGTGTATATGGCAATAAAGTGTTAGCTATGTGGGAACTTCTTGGACATCAAGTTATTCCAACTTTAATTATTGTGATATTTAGTATTACTCTTATTATACGTGCTCTACAACAAAAACAAAGAGTGAATCAACGAATTCAATGGCGAAAATATCGCAAGATGACTATTCAGTTGTTATCAATTTCGGCTCTTTATTTAGCGTTTAATTCTCCATGGGTATTTATACTTTTTGCTTCTCAATATGGTTTGCCACCGAATATTACAAGAATATACACGTTTTACGGACTATATTTTCGGAATTATGTTATTTTTCTATTTCCATTTGTGTGTTTTGGATCACTATCTGAATTACGAGATGAATTCAAAAAGAAATTTCTGTGGTGTCGACGACAACATCGAGTTATTACTGAAATGACTATTGAAAGCAACACGTAGAATAAATGAACAAATTATTCCTCATTAAACATTATTTTATATTATTATGACATAAAAGAAAAGCCGAATACTAATGATTATTCATCAAATAAATAAACTGAACAGAGCTTGAAGAAGAAAAAAAGTTTATTATAGAAGATTATCGATGTTGTATCTTTGTTTAGCAATATATTCTATTTATGTATTATTATCTGTCATTATATTTATATTGAAAGAAAACCATCTTGAGGGTATGGGTGTGATAAAATAAAATCATCCACACCCTCAAGATGTTTAGGTTAATCTTATCATCGAAATCTTCTTCTTAAATTTTGTTCGAGTCTGAAGTTAGAAACAATAAATTATCCATGTTAAACTTCCACGAGAACAACTTAATTATCTCTCACACGTCAAAAAGGACTTCTCTAGAAACAATTACAACTTAAATTTGTGTTAAATAATTCATAAACTAAAATAAATATACTTTTCAAAAAAAGAAGTATTTTATTCAAAATCAGATGATTTTATTTTTTATTTTGATAAATTATATTATTTCACAATTGAATTATCTTCAAAATAAAACAATTTTCATTTTATTCCGTACTTAGTTCATATTTTTGAATTCGATGATTATGAGAATCAACAACATAAAGATTTCCTTCAACATCAAATGAGAGACCCTTGAGATAATTTAATTGATTTGATCTGTCGCCTTGACCATTTCCACCAACAACAATTGAACCTTGTGCGTTCCCTTCATACCATTGAATTATTCGATGATTGTCATGATCTGCAATAATGATTTGACCCGAATTATCAACAATCACTGCATAAGGACCAGAGAATTGATCGAGACGATTTCCATGTCCATTTCCACCAGCGACAAGAATTCCTTTTTTTGCATCTTTTGTCCATTTCATTACACGATGATTAAGAGTATCCGCTACATAAACAGAATAATCTTCATCGACAAAGATATGATGAGGTCGATAGAGTTGATTGGAATGATTTCCTTGGCTATTTCCACCTGCAACTATTGTTCCATATGTATCTCCTTCTTTCCATCGTATCACTTCAGCCTTGTACATATCAGAAACATAAAGAGATCCATTTTTGTCCATCGCCATACCGCCACATGCAATATCAGAAATGATAATTTGTGGATTTGTTTGACTTTGACGGAATAATCGCATCACTCGTCGATTTCCATGATCACATATGATTATCGCATTCTTTTGTTTGTCAACAGTTACGTCGAATGGTACGCTGAGCTGATCCTGTCTGTCACCCACTCCCATTCCACCTACAATGACTTGACCATTGTTAGGATCATCTTTCCATTTAACAATACGATGATTTCCAGTATCAGCAATCAAAATGCTTTCATCATCATCAATATACATCCCCTGGGGGACAGAGAGTTGACTTAAGCTATTTCCTTGTCCACCTTTTCCAGCAACAGTAATTCCATGTTGTTTCCATTTGTCAGATTTTGGCTTGCTTTGTACTAAAAGTGAACACAAAGAATTTGACATTAAATTAAAGTCTGACAATATCGATTTAAGAAAAATGTCAGTAGAATTAAACAAGGAAAGATGATTAAAATTTTACGCTTATAGTATTAAATAACAAAAGACAACTTAATAAAAATGTCTTTCCACTTTTCTTTTGAAAAAGTGAATGAGAATTTGTTTTTTGAATTAATGAGTGATCAAGAGTAAAGATTCTCATATTTATACTGGCGCAACTGTGTATTCTGCGATATTTCTCGGCTAGCTTCCTACCTGAATTTTGAAAATATTATTATCTTGTATGAAGATCTGATATAGATTTATAAGATCTTAGTCAACATACAGATGGTTTAATATAATCACTATAGTTCATATGTAGATACTCTTAAATACTTCAGAAATAGTCCATCAGATATCTTCTACAAGTGTCAGAAACCAAATCAGACATCACTGGTAAATTTAATAAATTTCTGAAATTCTTGCTCTTAAGAACGTCCTTGGATGAAAGATGATATTTCCTGGAAAAATTCATAACTTTTTAACCCCAAGCAGTAGCCAAATTCCACTGACAAGTATTATTTCATCAAAATCTTGACAAAGAAATAGTACGTTTATATATTTTAGTCACATGAGATTTACCTGTACACAACATCAAATTACACTTATCTTCTGTCTACTTTGTATCTTGATTATAAGATGTTTCTATGGAGAAATTCAAGACTGAGAAACTTTCAAAACACAATTGTTTGAAAAAATGTTCTATTTTTCTTCTTCATTTCTCAACTATTTATCGTTTGTGAATTCTTTTCTATAAAATGTATATTCTGATCTCTCAACTTTAAGTAAAGAATGACAAAGAAACTCCAACACAAAAACACTTTTTGGTGGTAAAATTCTCCAGAAAGTTATATGATGATACTTTCTCATAAATTTTATTCCCATTCACCTTTGAAAACAGTCGGAAACCTTGAATTCAATACTAGCATATCGTAGAAAATTTTAATAATTTATCAAAAAAGAAAAGAATATCGCCTCTTTTTTATTTTATTAGCTTCATACCTTCTGTCGTTGGGTTATATGTTGTTGTTGTTCTAGATTTTTGAATCGTTGCTTTTGTTATAACAGTTGGTTGTTTTCTTATCATTGTTGTTTTTTTTGTCACAGTTGATAGGTTTATCACGTTTGTTGTTTCTGTTATTACATTTGATAGTTTTGTTATGTCTGCTGGTTTTGATTTAATAATCACGATTGGAATAGTTACAATCAAAATAACAACGATAATACCAATAGTAATCCATAAAAATTTCTTTTTTTTTAAACATTTGCTTCTATAATAAACAGTTCTTTTGATTATAAGTTTCAACAATTTACAAAACACTTACAATAAAGTTGATCGATCAGTTGACGTCTGTTGAGAATTCGATGTAACCAGTTCAGACTAAAATAATTCATTAAAATGAAACATTATTTAACAAATATATTGCATCACAAACTCCTATTTGATTTCGACCCATCATAAATATTTTGTACACGTGTGAGATTGAATTAATACCTTATTACAATCAATAATCTAGAATATCTAACAAAAACAAATGATACCAGAATAATACTTCAGAACAAAAGATTATAGTTGAAAAATATGCATAAATATTTGACTAAAAATAAAATAATGAAAAAGTTTTATTTACAAATCAATCGAAAGAAAACCACCAATATAGAAATATGTTTATAAGAATTTTCAGAATATTTCTAAATGATTTTCTAAAAAACGAAAAAGTCATTAAAAAAAGTATTGAAATTTATTTTTATCTGAAAATAATCAAAATAAAATATATTTTCATCCATCGAAGCTGAGAAATCTCTCTTTTCTTACTATTCATGAATTATTATGTTTCATTAACACTTACCCGAATAAAATTGAACAAGAACAAACTGTTTGCAGTGCTATTCTCAAATGACTGACTACAAAATCTTCAGTATGTTGCTGAAAAATAATAATTATGAAAACAACAACTGTTTTTTCTTCTACGCAACAATATCAATGTAAAGTATATTTTTTTGGAAAATCTACAACAAAAACAACATTAAAAATAATAAATTCTCTTCCTCTGGCGAAGTAAATTAGTGAACAAAATTCTAGCAGATGTCAATTAACATTTGTTGTAAATACAATAAATACTCATAATATTAAAACTTTGGAAAAAGAATGTGAAAGCAATATGCATCAGACTAAATCAGAAAGAAAAACATTGAGAATCACTATTTAAATAGGAGAATAGAATTTATTATTTTGTATAGATATGAAGGAACAAATATGTCAATAAGAAGATCTATTTTGTAACTGATCCTAAACTATTCGATGATTTCTGAATGGATGGATGTGAGTGTAACTGTAATCTAAGATTTACTCTTTATTTAGAAATAATTTAAATCTGGAAAAGAATATTTTGTCTCGTTATTAAAATTAAATTTCAAATACTATACATCATAATACATGTAAGTTACAGGTAAATATAGTCCATCGGAATAGTTTGAGAGTGTGAATGTGTCTTCTGTTATCATCATTCACACCCAAACCCTAATGTAGTAACAGCTTCACTCTATAGACTTTCAAATGAATGAATGAAAAATAATAAAATAGATTCTTTTCTATTAGGAAACTTTGCATTTTCTTCAAAAAGTGTTGATGTTCAATGTTGTTTTTATAGAAATAACCCTATTAATTATTATTCGAAATATATAATTTACTTTCACATGTTATCTCATAGAATTCGATATTTACCAGGGTGGGTGTGTGAGGGTGTGGGTGTGGGTGTGGGTGTGGGTGTGGGTGTGTGTTTGTGGGTGTGGGTATTCTTGTCTTCCCACACCCACACCCATCTTCTGTTTAGAAAAATGAGATCAAATTGAGCAAATAAGAATCAATAAAATGTTGTCGTGACCGGAAAAGAGACATAACACACTAACTTTTTTTTAAGATTTTCCTGAGGAGATGTTCGTTACGATTTCCCGACACATCAAAACATACAAAATCTTCAAAATGACAAAATTTTAAGCAAGCAAAGTGTTTTGGTGACTGTGGGTGTGAGTGTGGGTGTATAAACCACTCTTCTCTCATAATAGACACCCACACCATCAAATACAATGTTTTTAGTTATTGATAAAAAGCGAAACAAATAGTCTTATTAGAAAAATAATAATAGCTGCTGAACGGGATATAGCCATGATGGGACTTGATGATGGTGTAGTAGTTGTCGATGTACTTGTATTAGTTACCGATGTACTTGCAGGACTTGCTGGTGCATTTGTAGTAGTTGTCGATATACTTGCAGAACTTGCTGGTACATTTGTAGTAGTTGCCGATGTACTTGCAGTAGTTGCGGATGTACTTGAAGAACTCGCTGGTGAATTTATAGTAGTAGAGGATGATATTGTTGTGGTGGAGGTCGATGTTGTAGCAGGAGAAGATGGTGTTGGTTCTGTAATATTTGGTGATGCTGTAGTATTCGTAATTGGACGAATAAAAAATAATGAATCGAGTTGAATATCTTCATGTATGAGTTCAAGTAAACTGTATACTGTTGCAGGGTGATTGCAACCATTCTTTGAACAATAAACATTTACTTCTTCAAAATCTAAGATGTCATCGTCAATATTATAAGTAGCTGTAAGTATAATACTTGATTCAGTTGCAAAATTTTCACATTCAGCTTTGAATGCATATACACAACTGCTATAATCTGGATGCTTAATATATTGATCAATATAACAACGTCCACCAGATGAACAAGAAGCATTTGTGCATTGATCAAAACTACTAAAATTACTACAAACTTCACATTCAGCACAATAAGTAAGTGGTTCAGGACTTTGAAGATATGCAGCTATTTCTGATGGTTCAGCATTAAATTGAAAACTTGTTATTAATTTATCAACGAGACGACCATCATTACATAATTCCCAATCACATATATAACTAATAAAATTAACTGATGGTCGATGCCATGATAAGTTTCTATAAAGTATAAGTTCTTCTTCTGCATGAATAAAATGTCTATATGGTAAATTCGTTTGTTCTACATGACCAAGCTGAATGAATTCCCTACCAGGAATTTCTTTAAAATTGCGTACTATTTCACAATAACTTTTATCTTGATATTCAATTGTACATTCTAATATTTTACAACCATCACTACCGACTGCATGGTCACAATGACATGTATAACAACCCAATAGACCAGTATTTGGTTTTGATGTTGTTGCTTGTGGCCGAAAATAAAGTTGATCATTTATTTCTGTTATAAAAGTAATATTTCTTTGTATAGTTTGAACATGAGGTGGATCATTACAATTGTTTTTTTTACACCAAATATCTATTTCACCTGTTTGAAATTTCTTATCATCCATATAATATGTTCCTGTTATTTCAATGGATGTATTAAGTTTTTCATTTAAACATGCACTAGTAAATTGAAATGAACATGAACTATTATGTTGCACTGGATCATCCAAATGATCATCAATTTCACACGTACCACTACATGGTACTGTTGCACATGTTATTGCTGTAGTTGAATTTACACATTTTGTACATGATGCACATGTTGTGAACGTTTCATCTGGTTGAAGAATCAATGAATTTGTTAACAAATTTGAATCAACAGTAAATGTAAGACCTTTTGGAAGGAGACTAAGAATACGAGGTGTATTGCATAAATTCCAATCACAACCATAAGTGAATTCTTTTACAATAGGTGCGTGCCAACTTGAACTACTTTCTAAATAGATAATTTGTTCTTTAGCTCGTAAGTAATGTTGTGATTCCAAAAATATCAGATCAGAATTTGGTCTATGATCAAATGTAATATTGCTCGATGATGTTCGTGCAATTATACAATAATTATTTTCAACATATTCGATTACACATTGTAATTCACTATCATCTTTGCATGTTGCTTCACCAACATTAACAGAACAACTACATTTATAACATTGAAGACAGTTAATTTGAATAATCGTTCCCAGAAATACAAAACCTATAATAATAATAGACGAATAATGCATTTTATTACAATAAACGACTGTATAACTATAAACGGTAAAGTATTTATAGTTAATGAAGAGTCTTAATGTTTATGGCAGCTTTATACTAAGATAAGATTTTTATATGGAAAGGATAATAAACTTTTATTAACTCTAATATACGTTTCATCAAAAAGGAACAATGAGAGATTATTTTTATCTTGAGTAAATCTTACTAAGAAAATGTTTGAGAAGAGTAACCATATTCATCAACGATTCACTTAAAAAATCTAAATCTAATTGATCAGTCATTTCTTTCGTAGACATATTCAAATTATTAATTATGTTCTTATTTAGAATATTATTAAATATATAATCTATATCAATATTCAAAGAATTATTTATATAAATTTTATTGGATTGGTTAAACTCATCTGCTACTGATCAAATTATAAAATTAATGATTATATTTCTTACATTAGTAATAACATTAAATTTTATACGTGATCCCATAAATTTTTATAATTCTTCAGTTAATATAATGCATTTTCTAACACTATTTCGAATAAATATTATATCATCAAATCATTTCGTAAACATTTAATAATAAGTTTCTGTATTTTAATTTTATTTTCTTTACTAAGATTAATTATTTTATTTGTTTATTCATGTGTAAAAACAAAAGATAGGATTTTTTTTTACTTACTTTAATATATCGTTTATTCTATTATTAGGGAATTTCATTATTGTTGTTATATCATCACAAACAAATAAACAAGATCTTCATCATGCTATTAAATATTTATTTTAATTTAAAATAAATATAGCTGAACTATTACACGAACTCACTCTGATTTAAATTAGTTCATTTGAAAAACTTGAAAATAGTATGTGAGTGGATGGATGAGGTTCTTATAATCTATTATCACACATAAGAATGGCTGGATCTTGAGGGTGTGAGTGTGCGGATTTTTCTTTATTCTCTTACATTCATATTCACACCCACACCCTTGAATAATCCATATAGACTTACCGCTAATCCAAATGAGACGTTTCTTTTTATATTGCACGATATATTCTAAAGATTTTTCTCAATCAATATTTGATTATATGTGCAAAATATCTTTGATATTATTGTTCTTTATTTTGCTCTGATATGTTTCAGTGTACTATTACATTTATTCATATACTCAGGAACATATTCATGTGCGTTCCTTTTTTTTCTTTCTCTTATTTAACAATTTATAATCTTTTCATTCTTTTATTTATTAAATAAACCAATATTTATTAGCTGTTTTCTCTTATTTTAATTAATCCTTGAATGTCGAATAAATACATGCACTTTTTTTTATCAATAGAGGTTTCGGTTTCTTCATGTTTTTTTAGAATACGTAAAGAGGGTTTACAGTTGCAACGGACAAAAATCGAGAAAAATATCTTTCTTATGCATCATATGATTGTTAATTGCTTGAAATTACATTTCTGACCATCAGTCTAAAATAAGCGCAGACGCTAATACTATTCTGCTGGAAATCATATGTTTCGCGCTATTTCTTTTTTTCAGAAACAATACGCCTTATATGAACAAACATAGATATACAGAATTTTGTCGATGTTGCCATGTATAAAATCTCTTCTTTGTAACACATACTTGTACCTCTTTGCATTTAACTATTCTTTTCAGTTGCCAAATCACATTCATCATATCAACTAATAACCTTTTCACATTATTATGTACATTTTTATCAATTAATTGTTTGGCAACAATAATTGAATATTTGCTGAAACAAAATCCTGGAGATTACCTATTACATAGGAATATTAAAAAATATAATGATATTAATAATAAATTTATTTGTCTATTTGGTAGTGTCTTTAGAATAAAATTTTATTGAATTCGGATAGCTTCTTAGAATTTATTGTGGTTTTATACGATCATGGAGGTACGATAACAGAAAGACATGTCTTTTCAAATAATAATTGTCTAATGTGACTGGTTTATGCAATAAATTCTGATAAAATATCAAGTGTCAAAATAGGAAAAGTCTTCTTTTACAAAGCTACATGTATCTTTATTAGATTAGTCTGATCCATATAGTTAAAAAATCGTTTATGTGCATTTTTTTGATTTCCTGTCTTCGAGAGAAAGAAGACGACTAATAAAATTTCGAAATTTTTATTTGGATTACTTTTTTTTATCTTGTTGAGTCAAATATATTTTTTTTCTTACGATAAAAAAAATGAGAAATCAAGATCGATAATACATATATTAAAAATCATGATTCCCAAACACTTGAATCATTGATAACTCCAAAAGATAAATTTTTTATGACTTACTCTTTCATTTCAAGGTACAATACAATTTCATTTCCGCTATTCAAGTAGCGATATGAGTGAAATTTATCTTTTGAAGTTATGAGTGATTCGGATGTTTGTAAGTCATGATTTTTGATATATATATTATCAATCTTAATTTCTCATTTTGTTTTTTATCGTAAGATAATCAGATTATTTCATTTTTCTTTTTTATATTTCTTTAAGTAAACAAGATATTCTAACAACAGATAGACCAATATCAAAGAAAGAAAAAGATATAGAATATGAACCGCATCTTTTTAATAGTATTTATTATTCAATAGATATTCCTACAGAACATATTTACAGTTGTTTCGTTCTTGTACAGCGCGAAATTAATAGCAAAGAAAATGCGAATTAGTTGATTTTTGTTCAAAACTACTTTGTTGTATATATAAAATATCTAATGAATAATACTATTCACATGTTTAAAGATCCGTTCCTGTGACAGTTTCTTTCTATTCGAGAAAGATTTTCTTTACAGTCTAACTTATATTTCGTTATAAAACTCATAACGAATGAAGATAATTGTACAGTTAATTATGTACTACTCATGTACAAAAAAAATGAAAGAAAAAAGCAAATGAGATTGGATATTCTCTGATAAGCTATTTCTTAGTCATTAATCTAAGTAAATCATCAAAATTCTAATCAATTTCAAGTGTAAATGAGAGCACTCAATCTTTATGTCACATGGGAATAATGTTGCATAATCAGATAAAAATTCGATTAATCATAGAATGCATATTGTTCTGAAGTTTAAATTCAATGCTTTCTTTTATATGCAAAATTTTTTCGGCGAAATATTTGTATGTTCACGAAATTTAAATGATATTCGACTTAATTCACTTTCTCAAAATTTAAATTCGATTTTTTTTTCGGAAGAAGTGCATTTTGATCACATCGAAAAATACTTTTTATCACCACATTTTTTTTATTCCTGATCAACGTGATCGGTTATTGAGTGTTCGTGTCTTCTGATTGGTCTGTGCAAATATTAGGAATGAAAAAAAAATATAGCGATTAATCACTCTCTTCGTTTTGTCATTGATATATATGTGTTATCTATTGGAGAAAATTTTTATTGTAATATAACAGAACGAAAAAAACGAATGGGAGAATGGCAGTTATTTT